GTATGGGGATTTATCACTGCTGTCTATGGGAATTTATTTGTAGGGGTGCACCCTGTTCGGGCTGTTGGCGACGAGCGGGGTGGGGTACTTAAATGGTACTTCACAAGAATTTCGGGAAATCGATATTTCAAATTCACTCAAAAAGGAGGAAATTTCAAGTGCCATTCATGTGTCTCAAATTGAAGTGTTTTATTTAAGGGACATACGGTCGAAATTTCAACCCAGGAAACTGAATTTGGTTGAAATGGCAGTGATTTGAAATTTTTTCCGTGTTGTGTGGGAGTTTTGTACACGAGAACAAAGGAAATACCCCACAAGTATACATATGTACTGTATGTAGGTGTGCGTTTGTATACACATTCAAATCGTGGACCTATAACAATAGGGGACAATAGGGTCCACGGTTGCCGAAAGTCCACGGTTGGAAAACGTGTACAAAACATATGGGAGGTCTTCCGAAAAAGTAAAAGTATGAACAAAAGAGGAACAATAGGGAGCCCACGATTGAAGGCGTTTACGCACTTGTGTGTGTGTGTAGCTCCCACTTTCACAGTTTGAACACAAGCTGTTCACAGCGTTTGCAACTACTGATGATGGGTGCGCATACTACACCTGGCAGTTTGTTGCCAACAAGTAACTATGGTGACACTCTTATCCCAACTCCCATCATCAGATGGGTCAGTTCTCAGGTCACGGCCGTAGGTGTGGCGTGATAAGGAGTCCTTGATTATGGATATTAAATTTTAAGCTCCATTTTATTGGTTCGTACTTGACAGTGCAGGGCCATCAAACGGAATGGCGCAATAAACATGAATTTTCTTACCGGATACGTGCACGAAGGACCAGCAAACTGTAACTTCCGAAGTCGTAGGCAAAGCCACAGTTGGGACGAGACCCAGGCCTTTTGAGAGAAAGAGGCCTTTCAGATGATAAGTTACGACTTGTTGTGGGGTACACCGAACGGCTTACAGTAATGCCACAAATGGAAGCACTTAAAGTTGAAAACTACAGGGTTTGCAGTTGTGAACAAGCTTGCAGGATGCTTGAGGTCTGCGAATGATGTCAAACTAATGGCGACTATTACAAATGGTGCAATTTATCTCAATACATGCGGCTTGGAAAACTCGGCTGGTTTAATTCTGTAGGCCTGTAACTAGGGGGGGGTGCAGGAGATGCGTCTGCACCCCCCCGCGACTAAAAACTTGAAGGTCCGCTGTTGAAGCAAGAAAAGATCTTTAGCTTTTTGCCAAAAAAAAGGCCGCGCAAAGCTTCGGTATTTTCGCCTCTGTCAATCCCCCCTTCGGGAGTGTACTTGTAACCCCCCTAAAACAATTGGTACTTCCTCATGAATCCTGCTGTTTTTCAAAATAAAAAAGCAAAATATCTATCCCTGGTCCGCCTTGTTGAGGATTTGCACCAAGAGTCCTAGTTACCGGCCTGTTCTGTGTGTCGTAAGTTTTACCCACAGACCTGAACAAAGTGACAGGCCTATGTTCGCGTCAACCCACGCAAGTTTTGACATAACGGCTAAAACCAATGATATAAACCCCCAGCCGTTTCCAGGCCACATTTTGAAGGGTATATTTGACCCTTGCGCATCATCTCTAATATTGTCCCAAAAAGGACCAGTACAAACGCTTGTTAGGTCACCGCGCTGGACGGCATTTTATTAGACGCCTATAAAAATGGTCAGGTATAAATATGCAGTTTTCATCAAATAAACGCAGCAAAAGAACGAACCATTTTTTCCTTCCGAGCCGCGGCATGTGCTTAGCCCGTATCTGCATCATTTCTAATAATGGCCTCTATTGACACTTATGTGTGCTCGTCACCTCTAGAGCATGAACTAAGCTCCAAATAAACAATTCGCCGTTCGAGGTTCAATACCACTCGCTTACAAGACTAATGAGGTTTTTTTTCCAAGTGCAAACAGACCCCGTACCCGCATATCTATTTTGATATCCAATTCATATAATCAATACCGCACATTGTCCTTGGCCCCATTTCTCTGTGCGCTGACGGGAAGCAACATGCCGAAACGCGTACCTGCGCACAATGAAGCGATCGTCCAGTTCGTTTCCGCGCCTTGCCATTTATGACCGACAGAAAGCCATAAAGACCCCCGCTACGATAATAGTCTCACTTACCTAATGACCATGAACTCGGGAAGAGTTGAACCCGACGACTCTTTAGAAAAAGATCTCTTTTACGCATTACACTCCGTTTCAATTAGCTTTTTAAAGTTACCACTGCACTGGGATTAATGTTTCTCAGAACCTAACTTTACTTCCATATGTTAATAGCCATTGAAATAATGTTATAGATCATTAATCAGATATTTTTTTGGCAATATAGTGGTACTTTTTCTGTGATCGAAATATAACTTAACTATCCTTTATGCATCATCTGGTTCCGTCATATGATGTATGTTAGGATTTGCATATATTAATCTGTTTATTTTTACAATTTTCAGTGTGGTATGCCTTTTCCTTAGTCGACAAACTGCTGCGGGAAAACTTGATAGTAAACCACTGAAATTCAGTGAGTGCAGATGAAATGTCCTTTTCACATGAACTCAGGAAAAGCTGTTTTAATTTTTAAAAAACTTTAGTGGGTAATATAGGTTTGATGGGGTAGCGGTGGTTGTGTCTACACTGGTACAAGATTCAGTGCAGTTTGTGCAGTGAGGTCTACTGCCACAAAGCTTACAAACAGCCGTCTGCAAAACGAATTCGCCTGCACCCAATTTACGAGAGGTTTGGCCCAGATCTAAATTGAACATAATATTTCGCGGATATCAGGCCCCCTTGGCTCGACATGAAAGACAACGGACACGGCGTATCATGTTACATCTGCCCACAGTGGACCCAAGTGCCGAGTATAAATATTTTAACTGCGACAAGGATGCCGGTTGCAGAGTGGAAATTGGGCCGTTTTTCTTACCTGAATAAACAGTCGGGACGCGTTTGACGCCGACACTAGATCTTGACGACGGGTGCTTTCATCGGCGTGTCAAGAAGTGATTGCGCCGAAATGTCCGCGTGTTCAGAATCAAAGTAAAGACGACCCTCGCTGTGAGGATACACAGATTGTAAGCAAAGAATTCCATGCAAAATACATTTTTTGTGTGTGGGAGGGTGTCGCTGGCCGTGTCCCCCCCCCGATAATACCCAATACTAGGCTATGAGGAGAATCTGGACAAAATCAGCGTCACGCTTTAATTCCTCAAAGTTCCCGAAGAAATTTCGCATTTATCATTTTTTGTTACTAACATATTTCCGAAACCTCGAGGAGCGAAAACTTGCACAGCAACGTCTTGAAAAGAGACTCAGTTAGATTTATGTTTGAGCGGCACTTCGCGGACGTTGATTCAGTCACAGATGAAGGAATCGGTAAATACTGCATACAGACAATTAATGGCGCATATGGGTCCGCTTCAAGAGGTCTAAAGCGTATTTGGGGGCGCCCAGAAATTATGTGGCTAAAGAAGGAGACACCCTATCCAATCAGATCGATCCAGAAAATAACGTCATTTTGGTACCATATTGGTACCATATTGGACGAGGTATCGATGACGGAGCCGTTTGGATGAAGCAGATCACTGACAGAATCGTCAGTGTGTCTAAAAAAACCTTTGAGGATGTTCTGCCCATGTGTCATACTCATGCAAATCAGAATAGAAAAAAAAATTGAATAGAGATTTTTTGTTCTACTTTTGAATGGACGTCGGGACAGACTTAAACAAGTCTAGGGTTCACCTTACGCCTGCCACGTGCGACTCGCACCTTAAAAAGTGTTCAAAGTACTCCAGCCGAGCTCGGCGCTTCATCACACGTATGGTTCGATTCTGTATTGGGTTTCTCACTCGCTACACGCATGCGGGGCTTGAGCGCATCACATGGAGAGGAAACCGTCTCTCGTTACGCTCGTATAAGTGGCCTCTCATCACGCGCACGGCATCATCAGCAGCGGTGTTAATGTAGGTGACGGAGTGGGGGATACCATCCCTATGTGGTGAGATCGACACCTGGGCCTTGTTCGTACGATCGCAAGCACGCATCATCGGTGGGCGCGACATGCTGGAAACACTAGGGGGAGTTCGGTACCGATCGCCCCACGCCGTGCTTTGTCTGTGCCCCGTTGAGCGGTAAACACGCCGTGGGAAAGACGAGTCTTCCTCGGGTCTCCCCAACCCCGCCAACCAACCCACCAGGCCGCTTCGGGAGCCGGTGGACGCGAAGCGTCGGAGTTTTTTTTTAATTAACTCACTACTTTTCCGCAAAAAGAAAATTGTCAATATATCCCCTCCTTTTGTTACGGTATCTCTGGGACCTGCTTATCCGGTTTTTATTGACTCGAAGCGTACAAAGACCTCTTCCTCAGGAGATTTTGTGTCTCGTGCAACACGTCCAGTGACCACTTTGAGCAACGGCAGCGCCGAGTTCACAGTCACTACAGTCAAATAAATCAGGTGTTTATTGGCCAACCATTTGAGGAAATAAGCTCTACTCACACCCTTAAGGTAAGAAAACAAGCGTTTTGTCCTTCTTCGGGTTTAAACTGGTGGTCATTAATTGAAAAATGTCTCACTTACTACATGTCAGGAAAGTTTCCATGTTCTGTTTTCAACAGGCTCTTTGGTAACATTCTGAGACTAATTCTGACGTAGAGCAAAGATTCAGAAGGTACCCCGCTGATTTAAACATTGCAGTTTTCAATGTAATGTTAAAGTGACCTTTTGTGGCCTAGTTAACGTTTTTCTCAAGGATGTTATTGTGTCCACGTACGTAGGCCAAGCACCAGACGTTTATTTATGTGTGTTAAACCGGCTCGCCTTATCTCCTTTTCCGTCATACCCGAGAACAAGGTTGAATGTACCGTCCATTTGAAGCAAGATATGGGACGGAGAGAACCCCCCCCCGCCTTTGTGTTGGTCATTGTTTGATCGGAATCTCAGGAATTCTTAACAGACTTCTGGGGGGATGTGTTAGGTAACAATAGTCTAGAGTGTGTATTGGGATTGGGCAGGTACGGGGGGGTACCCCTCCGTCCAATATCTTGCCTGGTATAGTACCGTCACACATCCGCACCGGAAAGCCCGAGAACCGAGAATGCCGCTACATTTTCAATTGATACGGAGAAAGGTCTAGTGCTGTTGTCTCTGTTACACTCCCTGGGCTCATTTATTTTTGCCTGCTTGTCCAAATGTTACGTCGATTTTCTGACTCATAATTGTATGATGTCGGAAGCGCACGTATTTTTGCTGGAAGATGGCATTTTTTTATCAAGCGCTGGGATAGCGAATCACAGTGTAGCGTGCTTGTCAGTGTGCGTATTTCGGGGAGGGGGACCGGTATTTTGGGTATTCATTTTCAGAAAAAAAGACAGAAAGAAGAAAAGTCCCGGCTCAACAGGAAACAGAAACTGGATTTTCTGGAGCTTCTAGGATGGCAAATTGTGAGTGCATTCCCACTGGCACCCTTAACGCTTTCTGCCATTATGGCTTGGTGAAAACCGGTAACAGACCAAGCACATAATAACTTTAAGGATTGTGTATTTCAGCATGACAGAATAAGTCCATGCCGTTGAGAACAACCAGTAAATGCCAATATAATGATTTGCCGTTCTTTACAGTGGCTGAAATGATTTTTAGGATTCTAACTAAGATTCTAAAACCATGACGACGCCAAAATGGTGGTCAACATATCAAACTGTCAACAACTGCTCGAGTTTCGAGGAGATGTAAATACATCATGCACTAATCTAATAATTATGTGAAAACACCTTTCTCCGGAAGTCAGTATCAATTTTACGGACAGGATTTTGGATCTGCGCCACCATGTGCTTATTTATGGCTGAAGACAAGAGTAAAGCATCCGGTAGATTCTTCGAGATTGTTCGCTCCCAGGGTGTAAATCTCTCTGCCGTAAGCATCCCAGGTGCGACGCGGTCTCTTGTAAGAGGTCAATTAGAAGACGCACCCGAGGGGCCGTTTTGGAGAGCAGTATCATAACCACACCGTGGGAAATTTATGCCCGCGGGTATCCGACACCGACGTGGTTAATGAGACAAATTCTGGCGCCGTCTTGTACTCCATTTGGACAAATTTATAGCCTCTGTATCCTGTCCATAAAAACTTCAAAGTCTATACTTGTGAAGAATGTATGGACTTCACTTTTGCAAGGGAAAGATTTCGGAACAGTAATTAAGGGATGCGTACCATATTCTTTTCGTTGTGTTCGATTTAGTAATTTATGGCTTTTGCCGTTTCGCAAAAAGAAATTAAGAATATTACTCATTCTTCTCTCTATCTCAAGACCTCAAGATTCGTTAAATATAATTATCCCAAGAGGATAATTTGCCAACAATGTAAACGACTCCCTTTTCAGCGGGGAATTTTATTTCTACTTAATTAAACACAAGCAATCGCTGAAAAGAGACATGCGTGCGTACAAACTTGGTAGCGATCTTGAAACGAAATCTTTATAGAGAAGAAAAAACTAGATCATTAATGGTCACAATTGGCTTTGTCACCAAAAATGAAACTAATTCCTGAAATAAGCATTTAAATATGGGTAAAAGGAAAGTTGATAGCTTATCGTACAAATAAATGGTTTGATTGTACTTTTTAATGGAGATTATACTCCAATCAGTTCTAATTGAAATGCATCAGCACTCTCTTCTCCCTGCATCAAAGACTTTGAAACAGGGGACAAGACCATTAAAATTCATATTCGAGTATCAAGTTCCCTTCGAGTGGTTTCCATCCTTCCTTCCATGGAATGGGATCGCTCTAATGGGCAGGTCCATCAACGTTCAGTAGACTTACAGTGAACGTTCTCTTGAAGATCTGAGACGAACTGCATGTCTACGAGAATAGCTGGAACACCCTATTTTTGCCATAGATAGTTGCAGTGGTGTCCAACTGAACAGCGTAATTCTGTGACGTGAGCCAATAATACACCGGTCCATGAAAATCAACCAATGAAATCATGTTTGAAGATTGGTATAAACTCTGTTTCTGATAATGAGGGGAAGCAGACCCTAGACTCGACTTGGCATATTGCGTTATGATTGTGTTTACTGATGTTAGTCAGGCCATATCACTGCCGTGACATCCTGGTTTTACGTAAACCAGGATATGTGAAAATGATGCGTTTTCATATTAACTGTCAGCGAAGAAAGAAATATACCGCAATGGCTTCATTACAACTGTGTACGTAATATATTAGACATACATATATCTATGCTTATATGAAAGCAGATGGGGTAATACCGTACCATACCAATCTTTAAAATTAGGTTTACTTACTGGATGGGAGTTTAAACTAGACTACTTCTGTGTCTTGCTGAATGGAAATCAAAGGTCGGTGTTTTCACCCGCATAGTGTCTGTATAATTAAGATATCAAACTCAGCGGTGTGTTTCCGTAAGTGAAAGAGGAGAACGTTATCTCCTAGCCATGAAACGAGAGTTTAGAAAAATGCAGCTGAAATCTTTGAAGGAGAGCCAATAACTTCTAAAATTTAATTACAACTAAAATAGGACGCACTGGAGCCACTTGTGGCGGCGGAGTAGACGACCTTTTTACGACAAGTGAGGCACTTAACAAACAAGCTCCTTGGTTATGAAAAGCGTACAAAAAACGTATAAGACAAAGACATACATCGACAAACCATACTGCCCTTGACCCTTTGCGACATTGTTTGTCCGCCGTACGGTGGGATCTTACCCGATGTATGATTTGCACGGGTCGATATCACAACCATTCACGTGTGTATAGTAGACGAGCTTCCATAACTTAATCAAGGAGATTAACTCGGGTGCAGACTCAGCAATGCAGAAAACTCCTTTCACGCACGATTCCGGAAGTAAATAGCCTGTCACTCAAAGACTCATTTATATGGCTTGTTTGTCCAGCTTTTTGCGTTTTGTAATTGTTGATCTGTATGAAAATACATTATTTTTTAAGGATGGTGTGAACCAAATTTTAAGGTTTCTCGCTCGTGAACCCATTGCCCCAAAGCCTGATCTACAGAGAGACGATCATCAAAATGTTCAGGTTTAGTTGTAGGAGTATGCAGCTTCTATAGCCACATCCACAGCTTTCACACATTTTAAGTTACACCTGTCCTCTACAAATGATCATTTCAGGCGCAAGCTCAAAGTTAGAATATTTCCCAAGTGTGTTTGCTGCCACCAAGCGACTAAGATGTCCCAAGTAGATGAATAAATCATCACACATTCAAACGGCTCAAGGCTATGAAGTGTTTATCCAAAGTGAGTGGAATGTGGACAGAATATATAATGAATATTATTGCATGGTGTCAGTGTGCACTTTGGTAGACTGATTAACTCAAACATTCTGCTTGAGTTATCCCGGAATCTAGGCCCAAGGGAGAATGTTTTCCTATCCATGCAAGAATGCTCCAGATTAATTAAACAAGACAGACCCGATAGCTACCGGGCCACCACACCAACCGAGGTCTGATCAGCCGGCTTTTATGCGGCCTGAATCGCAACGCTAAAATTTCACGATTGGGCGGCGCGGAATACGAAAAGCCAACAGTTAAGGCAAGACATGTCCTGCTTTACTTTTACAGTACCACCTCTGAGTCAAGTTCTGCTGTCTGCCACAATAGTTGGATCGCACTAAGCGTGGAACAATGTCGGAGTCGAAAGATTTCTTCGGGAGTGTATTCAAGAAGGCCTACGCATAGACATCACTGAAGTAGGGGGTAATTTCTGAAAAAAAAAAATGATTTGCCTGCCCCTTTTTTTCTCCTCTACATTGTGAATGCTGTGTTGAATACCACAATTATCAAGAAGTATTGACCACCCTTTTTTTGGTTTTTGGTTTTTGTTAAACGTCTTCTTTTCCTTCAGAGCGGTTTGTAAAATCAAACCCGAATTCTCGATTGTAAGAATTCTTTCGACTGATTCCACTCAGTTCCCCGCTAAGCGGGGAAAAATCCTCATAAATGCGTCTGTTTACCAGGTCTCCAATCCCATTACTAATTAATTTTAATGGTGTCTGTAACCCTGTCATTTTGGAATTTTTAGAAATTGACTTCTTCACCAGCGAATTGAACTTTAAGAGGATAATAACTACATGAATAACACTCCTCGGTCAGATATATCTTTGGTCCTTCTCAAAGGTTCTGCGGTCCAACAGAAGCATAGGCGTCTGAAGAGGATTCAAAAATATGTGGCTCATAGGCTGCATTCAAGGCGTTAAATTCAAAGTTCGTGATTGAAAAACATTCTGTGCGATCCCCGTTATAAAGCAAGCATCTTCGCATATGTGTTTGGCGCATCGCGCTGACAGGACCCATGGCAGTCCCAGTTTCAAGCCGTTTTATAATTCGTACTTGGTCGATGACTGTTCCCTCTAAAAATGGTCGTTCATGGTCACTATCTATAATTAGGTTAGCTCACATCGGCTGTCAGAGTTGGTCCTTTAAATAGAATTAAAAGGGAAGGTATGATTCCCGAAAAACGCCTTGATTTAAGACTACATCC